AACTCCTGCTGACTACTGCTTACTACTTGTTGCTATTAATACCATCACTGCTCCTCTCCTAATGCTCCTAGTAGTATTATTGCTACTACTACTGCTGCACTGCCACCATGACTTTCTTGTGTTGTTTAGAGAAGCTGGTTCATGATATAGTTTGTCCCTGTTGTAATAGCGTCTCTAGTTGCTTCAGAATGTTTGCCTTTAAGTGGCTAGTACCATTTTCTCTATCTTTCCATGTATACCTCTGTCTCACTCTGTGTTAAGGTTCTATTGCTGCGTGGGTCACGCAATTTCCTCTTACCTTTCCAAACTTACTTGTTTTTTACCCATATTCCTGCTAACTAATTTCATAGGTAATTTAATTCGTGGTGCTAATGGCTGGTAATGGCTTCATATGTAAACTAATTTTTACATTGATCCCAGAGACGTTATCATTTTAAAGTTCAAGAATATAAATATGTAATTTATTGCTTATGATGTTTTCAGCCATTTCATGTGACTGTCTGTATTAAATGTACTGTTTCTATCCCCAAATAGTATAGGTTTTGTACTTATCTGTTCTCTTTCATAGAAAAGTTATCTTAAATAGGTTGTGGTGAATGTATATTGATTTTTAAGCGTTCTGTATTCATTATTGGTCACCATCTGGATGCCCAGGTATTCACAGGTTGTTAGGGAGGCATCTCCACTCTGGCTGGCTGGGCCTTTGGTGTCTCCCAGTGCTGTTTCTTCTGTGGCATCTGTTGTATTTTCTATCTTGTAGCAGCTTTGCTTTGTTATTCATCCAACTAGAGGCCCTATGCATGAAATTTGTGCAAGAGTAGGCCTTCCTTCTCCTGGCTGCTGGCACTGGCTTTCCTCTGGCACCCGGGACCCGGGCTGGCTTCCCTCCAGTCACTGACAGGCACCTGGGACCTGGGCGGGTGCCCAGGACCCGGGCTTCCCTTGCAGCCCCAGCTTCGTCCAGAAGGACATCTGGTCTAATTATCATATTACACTTGTATTATTATAGACAAGAGGCCTGATGCACGAAATTTGTGCAAGGGGCTGGCTCTCATAGCCTTGGTGGCTTGCCTTGGCCCTTGCAGCCCTGACTTCGTCTGGAAGGTCGTTCGGCTGTTTGGTCTAATTAGCATATTACACTTTTATTATTGTAGATGATGCGCCCGGTATCCCACCAAATGCACACACATTCCAACCTATGTTAAGGACTGGCAGGCATCCTGCTGGGCAGTTCCCACTTCCCTAGTCCCTTTATATAAGACTAGAGGCCCGGTGCACAAAAATTTGTGCACTCGGGGGGCGGGGGGAGGGGGGGTCCCCCAGCCCGGCCTGTACCCTCTCGCAGTCTGGGACCCCTCGGGAGATAACGACCTGCTGGCTTAGGCCTGCGCCCGGGTGGCAGAGGGCAGGCCCAATCCCTAGGTGCAGCCCCTGGTCAGGCTCAGAGCAGGGCCGATTGGGGAGTTGGGGCGCCGCCCCGTCATGCACAGAGCAGGGCGGATAAGGAGGTTGTGATGCCACCCTCAGTCACGCTCAGGGTAGGGCCAATTGGGGGGTTGGGGCACCGCCCCCTGTCACACACAGAGCAGGGCGGATCAGGGGGTTGGGGCGCTCCCCCCTATCAGGCACAGAGCAGGGCTGATCAGGGGGTTGGGGTGCCTTCCCCTGTCACGAACAGAGTAGGGAGGTTGTGGCCCCGCCCCCTGTCACTCACAGAGCCACAGGGCGATCAGGGGGTTTGGGTGCTGCCCCCTGTCACACTGATCCCGGTGCTGGGAGCCTTGCTGCTCCGCTGATCCCGGTGCTGGGAGGCATATTACCCTTTTACTATATAGAATAGAGGCCTGGTGCATGGGTGGGGGCCGGCTGGTTTGCCCTGAAGGGGGTCCTGGCTCAGGGGGGGGGTCCCCACTGGGGTGCCTGGCCAGTCTGGGTGAGGGGCTGAGGGCTGTTTTCCGGCTGGCGAGTGACTAAAGCTTCCAACCGCTCCTTGTTTTCTTTTCTTTTTTTTTTATTCTGGGCCAGCTTTAGCTCTGAGGCCTCGCTGCTGAAAACATGGATACAATGTTTTGGTCCGGCTGGGTTTCAGTCCGGCTGTTTTCTGGGGTTTTGTTTACCTTCTTATTTGCAACATAGTATATAGTTGCTTAGACTTGCAGCTGAGAGGCTGGCAAGTGAGGCAGCGAACGTTGGAGTCTGCAGCAAGCAAGCCTCGTGCTCGCTTCAGTGCCTGGCTGCCGGCCGCCATCTTGGCTGACAGTTAATTTGCATATACTCACTGATTAGCCAATGAAAAGGGTAGCGGTCGTACACCAATTACCATGTTTCTCTTTTATTAGTGTAGATTCCAGCTTCTTCAGCTGCCTTGAACTCTGACCTTGCCTTCTTGTTCAGGAGGGCAGCGGGCCTCTATTGCACTCAGTGGTTCCCATGCAGAGAGGCAGATGATATTGGGTTCAGCTTGTGAGGATGACAGTATTGCATCCGCCTGTTTTCTAACACCTGAGAGTGGTCACCTCAGTTATTTTAGCCCTTTTCATGTTTGTTAACAGGGAGGTGAGTTCACTACTAGTTACTCCATTATAGCCTGTAGTGGATCTTTATGATTCTTAAGCTGAAATTCATAGTGTCTGTTCTGAGCCCTGTTAAAGAAAACTTAAATGTTGTCTGGGGTCAGTTACTTGGAGCTTAAACAAATTAGAAGTGTTATAGTTAGCCTTTTAATTTCAGCCTTTCGTGTTAAACTAAATTAAGCAAGGCTGTTTATGGTCTTTTACATAATCAGACAGGGTGGGGCAAAAGTAGGTTTAGAGTTTTTCGTATGGAAAATAATACAATAATTAATAAACAATATGCAAGAAGAACCTCTTTTTTGCATATTCACAAGTATAAGCCTACTTTTGCCCCCACCCTTATATGTATGTGTATATAGACACACATGTGTCCGTATATATTTATATCTATTTCTTATATCTTGTGTTATCTTAAATGCTGTACTATGATTGTTTCAATATTCTAATCCTGATGATTTATCATGAATCATACTTTAGAAACAAGGCAGAAACATAGAGCTACTCTGTAGTGACAAGGGTTTGGGTTTGTTCCTCAAAGTAGCTAACTTGCTATCTTCATTCATATTCTTTCTCTGAATGATTATAATGATTACTTAAGTACTAGAGGCCCAATGCACGAAATTTGTGCAAGGGGCTTGGCCCTCGCATGCCCAGAAGGTCGTTCGGCTGTCCAGTCTAATTAGCATTTTATGCTTTTATTATTATAGATTTGCCAAATGTTTATTCCTAATCTGGCAACCCAAGATTGAGGTGGGAGGTGGTGGGTGGGTTATAGCAGCAGTTACATGTTGTTTAGGGCTGACCCTCCGAGTCTGAGGTTACATTTTTAAGGTATTATGGAAAGATATGGTAATAAATTCTCCTATATCTTCCCAGTTTTGTTTGATTTCTTTTTAATAGTCCCCAGAAAACTTCTATTAAGAATCTTTACATGGACTTAGGCCACCCAGACCCCTTTCTGCTAAAATGTGGAAGAAGCATCCTGTGATTTAGAATTTTTTCCTTTTGCAGCATAAATGGATGACTGTTTCCCACTCTACCACTCATAACATTTAAAAATCATGAATTGTTTATATTAATTTTTATTTGTAAAACTTTAAAATTTCACTTTAGTATATTGATGTGATCATGCATGTTTACTGTAAGATCAAATTCATTGTATATTTGAAACAGTAATTTAAAAATATAAAGTGTATTTTAAAAATTTTTCAAGAAAATATTTTGCTAGCATATTCCTAATATTTTAAAAGAAAACTTTTGTGAAGGTTTTGCGCCAAACATGGTACTCAGTATAGTTACCTAAATGTTTCACATTTCATAAGGATAGCTATCCTTAATTAGCAGAATAGGAAGTAAAATTTCAACAGAGTGACTTGCCCAAGATCACAGCAATTAATACATAACTAGATGCCCAGTGCATGGAATTTGTGCACTGGTGGAGAGTGTGGCCTGCAGGGATGACCCGATGTGGGAGCGCTGCTCACCCCGGTCAGCTGAATGGCGGCTCTGACTGTGGGAGCGCACTGACCACCAGGGGGCAGCTCCTGCAGTGAGCGTCTTCCCCCTGTTGGTCAGTGCACATCATAGCGACTGGTTGACTGGTTGTTCTGATCGTTTCGCCATTTGGTTGCTGGGCTTTTATTACATAGGATGGGATTAGAACTAGAGTTATAAATGAGGTCTGTCAGACTTTAATGTGCATATTCTTTTAAAAAGTAGGAATCAGGTGGTCCAATATTTTTATAGTTGAGAAAACCAATTTTATGTTGTTCTTAAAACCAGTTACTACTATTCTTTCAATTCAAAGATACACGTATTATTTTCAACAAGTATTGGTTATAGTTTCGCTGGCTTTGCTGCAAACATTGTGCATTAGGTATTGGTTTGAGCAGTTTGGGAGTTAATGAGTGCTTGAAAGGAGATGAAGTCACTGTCTGGAGGGCATTGGGGTCTATGACTTCAGGAGAGAGAAGTGCATTTATCAGTAATATGCCATATTTATGGACGTTCAGTCTCAAACTATCACATTGGTGAAAAGTATTTTTAAAGGAGCACATAAATATAAGAAAAGCAAAAAGTAAAACAGTTAATAGAGACTTCCTCAGATAGGAAATAATAAACGTGAAAATACTAGCAAAATAACACTTTAAAATGACATTTTTGGGGACCGGATAATTGATAAATCCATATTTAGTAGTGTCAGCTTACCCATCAGGTACAATTTATTTGAAAGATTTTTAATTAGCTTGGAAGTAATAAAAACATTGATATATA